CCGAGTTCTGCCTTGCCCAGCTCTAGCCATTGTGGCCATTTGGGAAGCAAATCAGCAGTTGGAAGATCTTTCTGTCCTTCTCTTTCTTTGTCACTCTACCTTGAAATAAATCAATTAAACAAACAAACAAAACAAAACAACAACAAAAATGAAACTCAGCAGGGTCTGCAAACTGCTAATCTACTGGGAAAGACTCGGATCCATGGAGTCAGGCAACCTAGAACCAGATGTGTATCAGCAGTCTGGGGTCACCTCCACTCTCGCACAGGCAAGGGATGAAGCGGTGAAGGTTACATGACAGCAAGGGACAGTTTGGGGTTAGGCAATCCTGTAACTGGGCACACCACGCTGCCTCCTTGAGGATCTAGTGACTGTGTTGGATGTCACCAAGTCTCGGCTCTAAACAGTGCTTCAGCCAGTGGTGACAACTGCCAGGCTGCTGTAACCAGATCTGACCCTGGAAACCAAGGGTTTTTCCTCCCGACAATCCAGGAATTAACTGAGATAGCCCATCTCACCTATAGCCACTCTGAAGGCCTAAAGGAGGGGTCACTGCTCCTCTAGCTCCATCCTAGCCCCTCCTCAAAAGGTGAGCTGTGGGCAGGCATTTGGCAAGCAGGTAAGAGTTGCTCGAGACACCTGCTCCCATATTAGAGTACAGGGCTCCGGTGTCCCTGCTGCTTCCCCTTAGCTTTTCCCGCTAACGTGCATTCTCAGAAGCAGTTGGTGACTGTTCAGGGAGTAGCAGGTCCCTGCCACCTATCTGGGTGGAGACCCGAATGGAGTTCTTACAGAGTTCTAGGCTCCTGGACCCAGCCTGTCCCAGCCCTGACTATTGTGAGCATTTGAGGAGTAACCCAGAAGGCAGAAGATCGCTTCAGATCACACACACACACATGTGCCACACACACACACACACAAACTTGGCACAAGCCAGAGGGCTGAGCCACATACCAGAAAGCTCCCTAGCTCTCTCCTGTCTCTCCTGAAATTAATCCTAGAATCCCCTAAATTTTCCATCATGAGGGGCCTGGGCCATGGTACACTTACCAGAGGCCCCACAAGCAGAGGCCTCAGTGGTGCTGGCTGTGGCACCATGGCCTGCAGTCTCCTTCCTCCCACATCCCTCCTCCCCCCCTCCCCCCGTGCTTATTAGCAAGCCGATGCCTTGGAGAAGCATGGGGCTTAAAACCCAAGGAGCTGGAACCTGCATTGGGGTGCCACCTGTGACACCAGCACCCAGGCAGATGCTGTCAGCAGAAACACCGCTGGGGACCCCAGACTCCTCCTGTGCCTCCTGCAGGGTCTGGGTCTGACAGCTGAGGCGGGAGCTGCTGTGTCACAGAGGAGGAACAAACATGCCCCATGCACCAGCACCCCCTGTGGTAGCATAGGTGGGCTGACAGCAGGGTTGGCTGGTGGTCCCCTTTACACTTCTCCCTCTACCCCTAAAAGCCTCTGGGCCCAGGCCTGCAGCTCCATTTCAACACAGGAGAAACTAGAGAATTTGCTCATATCTCCAAGGTCTACAATCCTGAACTCACTCACATGTATTTTAAAAACCTATTTCCTGCCTCTGTCCAACACCAACCCAGTCTTGACACACACTCCTGAGGCCCAGGGCACCTGTGCTCTTTAAAAACTATTTCCTTGTGAAGTAATCCTGCAAGACAAATCCAGACATCTGGTCATCCCAGAAAGTAGCGATGTCTTCAAAGGCCAGATACGACTTGGAATCCACCTGCAGAGGCTTCCGCAGGCTGAGGCCGGACAGCCTCCGCCAGGGACACAAGCACAGCAAACTGGTTAAATATCCATGGAAAAAACCCTCTCAGGTATAACCCGGGGACTGTGAGGCAACCAGACATGAGGAAGGGACCAACACTTGCAGAACAAGGAAAGGTATCATTGTGCAACCCCTTTGGCTGTACACACACTGACAACCAGGATGTCTGTGATGAATCACATGAAGGTGAAAGACAACACACACGTGCCCCTTACGTGGAATCACAAATTCTCTCAAGCAGTTCCTGAAAAAGCAAGCCAAACAAAATCTGACCTGGTTCCTGACTCTAATCACCAGTTTACAGAAGACTCGGGCAATAAAGTCATGTCAAGAACCACCATGGGAATGCAGATGGTCTGTACAAACACACCAACCAGGGTCTTGTTCTTCTTTTATGTATTCATTTGTTTAAAGGCAGAGTTAGAGAAAGGAAGAGAGACAGAACAAGATCTTCCATCCATCCATTCAGTCCCCAGATGGCCACAATGGCTGCAGCTAGACCAGGCCAAAGTCAGGGGCTGAGAGCTTCTTCCGGACCTCCCATGAGGGTGCAGGGGCCCAAGCACTTGAGACGTTTTCTGCTGCTTTCTCAGGTCACAAGCACAGAGCTTGATTGAAAGTGCGACATATGGGATGCCAGCATTACAAGTGAAGGATCAGTTTGCTGTATCAACGTGTCTGTTCCAGCCTTCTTGTTTCTAAAGAAAAAGATTGATTGACAGACTGAAAGGCAGTTACAGAGAGGAGAAACAGACAGAGACCCACAGATTCAGTCCCAAAATGGCTTAGTGGCCAGAACAGGGCCAGGCTGAGTTTCTTCTGAGTATCTCACATGCATGCGAGGGGCCCAAGGATGTGGGTCACTGCTTTCCCAGGCCAAGAGCAAGGAGCTGGACCAAAAGTGGAATAGCCAGGACTCAAACCAGCACAATAAATGACAGTTTTACTTACTGTGCCACAGTTTGGGCCCCCCACAACAAGTGTCTTTGACAAATACACAGCAAAGGAAAAGATAAAAGTGGAGGAGCTTGGATGGACGTGTGGTGCAGGGGCTTAAGCTGTTGCTTAGGATGCCAGCATGCTGTATCAGAGTGCTGGGATGCAGGCCTGCCTCCGCCTCCGCTTCCACTCCACCTTCCTGCTCATGTGCCTGGGAGGCAGTAACTGCACTGACCGCCCACCCCCACGCGGGAAACTCCGAAGGCATTTCAAACTCCTGGCTTCCGCTGAACCTAGCCCTGACTGGTGTGGGCATTTGGAAAGCGAATCAGTGAATGGGAGGCGTCTCTTTTTCTCTGACACTCTGCCTTTCCAATAAGGCTTTTTTAAATTAAGAAGCTATTTATGGATGACAACAGACCTAAAAGAGCTGGCAGCTCATGGCAAAATGCAGAAATCATTTAGATCCAAATTTGAAAAAAACTCAAGTTGTCCTGAGAAGTCTAGTCAGCAACTAGACATTTATCTATGTGGCGGAGGTCTTTGGAGGAACAATCATGGTGACGCAGCTTCTAAGAGAGGCGTGTGGGGCAGTGAGCTACACACAAGCCAGGGGACCTTGAGCTGGCCGTGGTGGAAGCTGGGTAATGGCGACCTTGGATTGAAATAGCTTTCCTTCCCTCTGCTTTTGTATTTAACGTTCTCTAGGTGAAAACCTTTCAAACAGCGTCTAGATTACACATCCTTATCTGTATACATCCTAAGGATGAAAATAGCCAAGGAAACTTAAATTATACTTGTAGTGTGTTGGTAGCAGTGATTTTACCATTGTCACTTTTTGAAGCCATTATTACAGGACAAAGCAAATCATTGATTGTGTTACTGTGACTAGAAACCAAGAATTATTGAAGCAAATATCAAACAAGATAAATACAGATCCCACGACATTTAACTTGATGTGCAAGCATCCCTATGTACTTCCTGTTTGTTTCCGCAGAGCTCTCCCTGGCTCTGCCCACAGGTGAGACTTAAGAACAAAGGCAGGCGCAGTGGCAGCCCCGGACCCAGTCTGGGGCCTCTGACTTGCACTCGGGATCTGTGCAGAAAGGCTGGGGCCCCATCTGGGCCAGGCATGTACAAGATGAACATGAGGAGCTGGCGCTGTGCCACAGCATGTATAGCTACTGCCTGTGGCACCAGCATTTCCTATGGGCACCAACCTGAGTCCCAGCTGCTCTGCTTCAGATCCAGCTCCCTACCAAAATGCCTAGGAAAAGCACTGCAAGATGGCCAAGTCCTTGGGCCCCTGTACGATGTACAAGACCAGGAAGAAGTTCCTGGCTTCAATCTGGCCCAGCCTCCTGGCCAAGGGCTTGCAGTCATCTGGGGAGTGAACCAATCAATAAATTTTTAAAGATTTTATAATTTTTCTTGGAAAGTCAGACACACAGAGAGGAGAGACAGATCTTTTATCTGTTGGTTATTCACTACCCAAGTGGCCATAACTGCTGGAGCTGGGCCGATCCAAAGACAGGAGCTAGGAGCTTCTTCTGGGTGCAGGGTCCCAAGGCTTTGGGCCATTCTCTGCTTTCCCAGACCACAAGCAGGGAGCTGGATGGGAAGTGGAGCAGCCAGGACATGAACCGGCACCAACATGGGATCCCGGAGCATGCAAGGTGAGGACCTCAGTCACTAAGCCATTGCACCAGGCTCTGATCAACTTCTTAAAACACCCCGACTCTCTCTGGGGCAGGTGTTTGGCCTCATAGGATGCCCCGAGTCCCACATCTGACTGCCTGGGTTGGAGTCCTGGCTGCAGTTGTGACTCTAGCTACCTGCTAAGGCAGGCCCTGGGAGGCAGCAGTGACAATGTTTTCTTGCCTCCCAGACCTGCAATGAGTTCCCAGCTCCCAGCTAGGGGAAGACTGACCTGACTTGGGCCTCGTGTGAAAGGCCGAGGAATAGCAGGGCCTAAAGTGTCCAAATCCTAAGTACCTGGCAGGTGCATTCGCTGTTCTCTTATTGTGGTTGATCATGGGTACTTGCTCCATCTCCTTGGGGCACTGTCAACCTTTGGAGAAGGAAAATGCCTTCACTGCGTATCTTCCCTAAAAGCTCCAATTTAGAGTAGCACAGACCCACCCAACTACCAAGCAACACGAAAAATGCCAGTCAATGGCGCCACCTGCTGGTGGAAGCCAGGAATGTATGAGCAAAAGCACAGGGTATCCATAAGCCAAAGATGGGAGAGATGGACACGACACCATTGAAACATATAAACCTTTAATTTCATCACCATAAACATTATACTCTGATTGCTCACAAACAGTATAAAATATTTACTCCTCTAAATAAATAAGACAAACATTATTGCAAACGGCACTTAAACCCCCGAGAGAGAAGACCTCCTCAGCCAAGGCAGGGATGCTCCTGAGTGTGGGTGGGGTTCCCCAAGCACAGCCACTCCCTGGCGACTGGTGGATGGCGGAGGCTTGAGGAAATGCACTTTGTGCTTCTGGTCCTGCCCCAGCTCTGGAGGGAGGCCTTGGGGCCAGTGAGGAGGGCTGGAGAGAGGAACAGGGATGGCAGGCAGTGTCCTCAGGAGCCCAGGCTTGGAGGGAACAGAGGGGAGTGGAGGTTGCCACGCCAGCACAAGGAGGGTTAGGGATGCTGCTGGTACCTGGAGCCCAACCCCCACCTTCCCTGAGCCCCCTTGTGCTTGGCTGTTAGCATTTGGGATATCAGTTGGGGTCAGTAGGACTTCTGAGGTTTGGGGGTCTGGTAGTTTTAGGATCCAAACCAGTGACCCCAAGAGAATGGGATCCTGGTAGTGCTTTGCCCCATGGTCAGCCAGATCAGGGCATCCAGCAGTTGGGGAATCTATCCTTCCCCCCAACTCCTAGATGCCTTCCTGGCAAAGCTGGGCATGGATTCCTTTTCGCTTTGTTAAATAAATAAGTTAAATATTTAAAGGCCTACATCCCATTGATGGTAGCCCAGGGATCATCAAGCCATGACCTGATAAAATGGGGGGGGATGGGGAACAAAGGGACACCACACCCTCTAGGGCAGTCTCCAATCGCTCCCCCTACTCCCACCCCAGCACTTTCACATTGCCAAGTCCTGCAGTCCTGCCACTCCCAGACAATTGGGTGGCGGAGGTGGAAGGGAACTACAGGATAGGGCGAGGGAGCTAGGGATGGGAGCCCAGGTGGCCAGGCCAGGTCTGGGCCTTGCATCCCTTTTCTAGGTATGTCTCAGGACACATGCTGTTCACCCTGAGCCTGGGAAATCCTTCTTCAGATCCTGCCTTCCAGTGCATGAGCTAATCCAATGCTCCAGGCTTCGCCCTTCCCTGCAAAAATCCAAACTGTGAAACTCACTCTGGAAGCTACCTGCCCAGCCAGCCCTCGATGGAGAGACTGCGGAGAAAGCACTGACCTGGAGGCCGGGAGACCGACCTGTGTGGCCATGCACCTCATCGCCACTGGGTGGCAGCAGAGAGCAGCAGCGCAAAGCGAGTGACTGGCCAGCCTGAATAGGCAGCCCCCCTGAACTGGGACCCTGGCCCTCCAACACCATGCCCAGGAGGGCTCCTACACAGAGTACTTGGCCAAGTCGCTCTTGTCAAACACCACCTGTGTGGCAAAGTAAATGGCGACCAAGCCCAGGCCTGCGGCTGACACCATGTAGGCAGTGACAGAGTGGCTGAGTTGCACGATGGAACCCATGAGCAGGGACGGGGCCACCTGCGACAGCAGGAAGGCACTGTCCAGGATGGCAAGGTCCAGGCAGATGCCCCGGCCAGGCACACCTTTGGCCTCAGCCGGCTCCGCTGCCACCCGCACAGACATATCACAGGTGGAGGCCCCACAGAGCGAGGGTGTGGAGGGCAGCGGGCTGCTGCCACCTGCAGCCCCTGCATGTCCATTGGGAAAGGTGGCAGCAGACTTAGGGCCTGGCAGGAAGCTGGTGGTCAGGCTGTCCTCAGCAGGGTCGCTTCGGTATCTGGGCAGGAACACCTGAGGGAAAGGAGAAAGGAGACACGGGGACACATGTGAGACCAGGACCCAAGAGTCCTCACTAGGGCAGACCCTGCAGCCTTAGAGAAGGAACCCCAAGGACTAAGGAGAGGACACGAGGGAAGGTGACAGAGGACTGCAGCCAGGAGGGGCCTGCACCCACACAGGTCTGCAGCCTCAGCCGCAGCTGCCAAGCCAAGCCACTGCTCTAAGGCACCTGGCCAGGGCTGTGGGCTGGGGCACGGGCAGAGAAGAGGAGGGAAGGGCCCCAGCTTCTCTCCACTACTCGCCCTGGAGTCCACCACTGTGTGTTCGCCCTGCCCTAGCTCTATCCCTATGGCCTGCAGTATCCTGCTTAAGGACCAGGCTTCGGCTTGCCTCACACTGTCCCCGTGTCTGGCAGCGTGCAGCACAGCGAGTCCTGGAGCTGGCTGCATCACTGGGTGGGCAGTGCAGGAAGAGCAGGATGTCTGAGCCTGCAGAGACCCCTGGGGGACAGGTGTGTCCCTCAGTCCTGAGTCCCAGCCCATTCTCAGGCATAGGCGTATGCCCTGGCAAAGGGCACCAACTCCCAACCCCAAGCAAGGCTGCCAAGGGCCTCAGGGACCAGGTTTCCCCAAATCCAAATCTTCAACTGTTCCCTCTCCACTGTTACCTCTATAGCCACAAAGCAGCCTCCCAGTCATGAATTTATCTGTGGCCCCACTTGAGTCCCACAAGCGGTACCAGACCCCATGAGGGCTGTACCTGCTCAGAGTTGGGGGTGGGGGCACACAGGAGCCCAAAGCTGGAGCAGGGAACAGGCGTGACTACATTGCTCCATCAGGTCTCCTGCAGCAGGGGTGCCTTCATGGACCAATTCATGTGGGGCCAAGCGGGAAGATGGTCCCCAAGTTAAACACTGCACCCCACCAAGCAGAGTCAGGGACACCAGGCTCAGGTCTCAGTCGCGGGGATGGGGGTGGAGGAGACAGGAGGGAGGCTGGCAAAGAAGAGAGAATGAGACAGAAAAGGGAGACAAGCCAGGGGAGGGGGCAGGAAGAAGCAGGGCTCTTGGGGAACAAAGCTGGGCAGATGAGGGCCACTGCCTGGCCCTAAAGGACACATGTGTGGTTAAGACTGGGCACTGCCTCCCCCAACCTGCGGAGCCACCCCCTCCCTCCCCCAGCAGGATTCACCCAGCTCCACCCACTGCTTCCTGGTAGGGCAGTCCAGCCAGAGTCATCGGCGGACCCCAGGCTCCCCCTGCCAGCCAGCGAGAGTACCTGCTTCTCCCGGTGGTAGAGAGAGGCCAGAGTGTAGGGCAGAATCTGTAGGGCCGAGAAGGTGAAGCCAGTGAGGGCGGCAGAGGCTGTCACCACAGCCACGTTGTGTGACAGGCACATGGTACTGGCAGCCACAGGGAAGGCCACCACGCTGGCCAGGTAGACGGTCCTTGTGCCAAATCGCTGCACCAGCCGGTCCATGACAAGGGAGAAGAGCAGGGATATGGCGCACTGCAGGAACAGCCCAAGGCTGCCCATCCTCACACCTGTGTGGGGAGGCGGGGAGAGGCGGGGACACTGGGTGTTAGGGGCTGCTCACAGCTGCTGCACAGCAGCCCTGCCCCTCCTGCCACACCCAGAGCAGTGCGGGAGAGGCACTGACTGGGACAGCAGATGCTCTAAGGGATTACCAGGAGCCTCAACCTTGGGGAGAGAAGAGTGTCAGGGAGCGTGAAAGAGTTCCAGGAGGCCTAAAGTGAGCCGCACCACCACCCTGCCCCCACCGCCTCCCCAGGCAGCAGTGGGGCTTGCAGCCACCCAGCCTTTCCAGCCAACAATGTGGGGCAAGGTTTCAGACAAAATTCAGAGCAGTGCACCCCCATGGGGAGCCAGGGACACAGCCCCAGCCAGGCACCCCCCCACCAGCCCAGCACAGCCTCCCCCAGCCTCAGCTCCTGCCTGGGGCCTTACCTTCATCATAGTGTCTCCGGGCCTCGGTGCCTGGCTCAGCCCTGGGCACACCCTGGTACAGTCCCTCACCCACAAAGTCCGTGTAGAAGAGCGTGAAGGTCATGAGCGCCATCCAGCTGCACAGCTCAGCCACGAACAGGCGGCGCAGGGTACGAGGCATGTGGCAGCAGAGCCGGTGCAACCAGGGGAAGAGCGAGCCCAGGTTGCGGAAGGCCAGGCGGGCACGGCATGGGCAGCAGTGGGGCGGCCCAGAGGGCACCGGTAGCCCTTCCACGGGCTCCGCTGGGCCCATCGCTGCCTCCTCCACCACCAGCAGTGTGGCCGCCATGCAGGCAAGGAAGATGAGCGTGAGCAGGCCAAAGAGGCACTCCTCCTGGGTGCCCAGGTAGGGGGCCAGGGCACTGGTGTCCCAGTCAACAACAGGCAGGAGGTAGCCCAGGCAGCCACCAAGGCTGATCATGAAGGCGTAGACAGAGAAGGCCTGGCGGCAGTGGTCTGGGTCCCGGAAGAGGTCGGAGAGCAGGGCCTCTAGCGGGGTGAAGCACACCTGGCCGCAGAAGTCCAGCAGCCCCACGCCGAGGATCAGCAGCGCCAGCTCCAGGGCCCTGGTGTTGGGACATAGCAGCCCCGCCAGCCAGCCAGCCCTTGGGATGAGGAAGAGGCTCAACAGGACGCCCAGGGACAGGGCCCAGATGAAGGGCCTCCGGCGGCCGTAGCGCCCGCGCCAGTGGTCACTGGCTGAGCCCAGCAGGGGGACAGAGATCACACCCAGCACGGGGCCAATGCCTGCAGGGAAGGACAAGTCCATGAGACTGTGGCAGGCCAGCAGAAGGACAAAGGGTTGGAGAAGCTGTTACCCAGGCGGGATGGATGCTGTGCTCTTGCCTGCTCACTATGACATTTGCAACACACATGCTCAACAACTGATTCACAGAGCAGGGATGGTGGGAGGCAGGGTGGGACTCCAGGGCCCCCTCCTTGTTGGGGGGAGGATGGGGCAGGGTCACATAATGGTGATCATTCATCCCCCATTGCTTTTACAGAACTCCTGTGGGGCGAGGAGCAGACCTCCATGCTGGAGGTAGGAGTGAGCCCTGGCTGGGAAGCCACATGGGGTCAGTCCTAGCCCTGCAAGTCAGAGGCTATACCCCCTCCACAAAGGCATGCCTCGCTGCTCCTAAGGATGTATCAGTCTCCAAGTGTAGCATGGAGCAAGGCAGGCTCAACTCCTGACTCGAGCTTTCTGCTAATGCAGGCTCTGGGAGGCAGCAATGGTGGCCTAGGGAGCTGCATCCCTACTCCCAGGAAGGAGACAGAATGCAGCTCCCAGCTCTGAACTGAGCCTCACCCAGCCCTGGCTGCTGCTGTGAACATTTGGGGAGTAAACCAGCAGATGGAAGCCAGTTCCCTTATTTCCCTCCAAAAAATTTTTGGCAATTAAAAAAAAAAAGCAGATTGTTCAACAGGGGAGCCATGTGGATAGAGAAGGCTAGGGGCACTTTTCCAGGGGTGGGGGACCTTCCTCCCAGGGTCACCCTTATATCCAGCAAAGTCTCCTGAGCAGGTACCAGAGTCACAGGCCGCCTCTTCCCTGCAGCCCTCTACCCTACTTCCCAGGAGGATGTAGTGACTCACCTAAAGTCATGGTCATGAACCGCTCCTCTACCCCCACTTCCAGCAGCAGCGGTGGCACAGAGGTGATGCCTGCAGCCAGGCACACCTCCAGGCCAAAGGTCAGCAGGTTGACCAGCAAGAGCTGGGCTTTGCGATGCCTCAGCAAGCGGCTCAGCCACTGTCTCTGCACCATGGTGGGACTACGGGCCGTTCACACACTCCAGAACCGTCGTTCAGCCCTGCCGCACAACCCGAGGCCTCTCCTCCTCTCTGCCTTCACTGGGCGTAGATTCAGCTGGGCATCCATTTCTGCCAGTCCTGGGGGCGGGGAGGGGTGCAGGTCTGGGGTCTCAGCCCATGCTCAATGCATACTGTCATGGGTGGTGCCTCAGTGGAGACACATCTTGGCCAGCAGCTCCTGTAAGGATGAGGACCATCAGAAGTCTCCAAGATTGCCTCCCAATCGCCTGAATCCACTCTCAGGCCTGCAGTGTGGCCCTGCCCCACTCCCTTGACCAGTCAGGAAATGCATGTTACCATGAGCCTGAGGCTGATATAATTAATAAGGTAAATATGATTTTTAAATCTCCATCTGCTCCAGAGCCAAGCAGATGTCGGTCTGTCTGTTTTGGAACATCTCTGCAAACTGTTCTTGCTCACTAATGTGGAAGGAAAAAAAAAAAACATCAACTCAATTTCCAGCTGCCTAGGCCCAACTCCTAAAGTGCCCCTTGAGACCCTGGCTATGCCCACTCCAAAGGCTGGGGCTGCTGGGTCCCCTTTGTCAGGTACCCACTCCACCACCTGGATCACCCCCCTGGGTCACTCCCAGGACAAGGGCGAAGGGGAAGGAAGAAAAAGCTGTGGTTTATTGGGTCGGGTTTAACCTGTTGGAGAAACCACTAATGAACACTCCCCTGGCTAAACCTGCAAATCTCTTCCTTGAGTTTCTTCCCAAGTTCAATGGTCAGAGGACAGAACACAGTCCCCAGCTGTAGGAAGAATGGGGCTGTCCCCAGGTCCCCGAGCCCTGCTTTGCAGGGGCATGAAACCACAGCACCTGGCAGCACCTGTGCTGACGCCAGCGACCCCTGAGCTAGCAGGAAGCCCCGTCACTTCCTGGGCAGCCCTGCCCTCTCCCCAAGTGGCTTGGTTCTCAGCCAAGAACTTCCTGTAGCCCTTCCTGCCAGCCCAGCCTCCCACGCGCCCCTGCTGCACAGGTGGCCTCTAGAAGGGCATCCACTGCCATGTCTGCCGAGAAGTGACACTGAAAGCAGGAGAGCTGCAGCCGATTAGGCAGGGATGAGCACAGGCTGCAGGTCCGGACACTGTCAGCCATCCCCAAACACATGGAGGACAGAACCTCCACCAGACATGCCTGGCTGCAGCAGCCACCCTTCCCTCCCTCAGTACACAGCCTGGCTCTAGCAGCCTTGCTAGAGCTCTCCCGCCTTCCCTCTGCCAATCTCGGGCATCACACAATAAAAGGCCCTTCAGACCCTCTTATCTCTTCAAGTAACACTCAGCCTCCACAAAGCCGCTGGAGGTTCTCTGAGCAGTGCCGCTGAGAAATCAGCCACCATCAATACTGGATAAGATCTGTCCACCCTGTAACTGCCTCCTGGGCCAGCAGCTGGTACACCAGGAAGGAAGGGAAGCAAGATAAGGCAGCCAGCAGCCTCCTCCCCGGAGTCCCGCTCAAACCCATGCTGGCCAGGAAAAGGGGCACGGGACTCCTGGGGGTGGGGAGGATGGCCTGAGCAGGAATGTAAAATACAAACCACAGAGCCCTGGAAGGGAGGAGGCGATGTAGGTAGCAGTCTTAACTGGGGGCTGTTATGGATTTAGCTTGAGCCCTTGGCCTCACAGTGTCCCGCCCAGAAGCAAAGTGGGGGAGGGAGGGCACCTCACAGAGGCCAAGGCCAGGGAGCAAGGATCTGGCCAAGCTCAGGTTCAGAAGAGTCCGGCCCACTGCACCCTAAGCTCACTCTGGGAGGGCCCTGGCTACTCACCTGCTCTGGGCTTCCAGGTCCTCCCTGAGCAAACAGAGCCAGAGTCAGCTGCAGCCTCGCCCACACCCTGGCCCCATTCTTACTCCCAGGATTTGGGACAAACTGTAGCTCTCTGGAACAATCCATCACCCTCACTGCCTTCTGCCCTGAGTCCCCTTAATGGACAGGACCTTTCTTGGCCCACAAAGGGGAAAAGACGAACAAGGGGGTGTGGAAAGGAATTCCTCGAGCACCCAGGCTGCCTCCTTGTCTCAGTGCCCCCATAGTTTCCTCCACCTGGAGCCTGGGGGCTGGGCCAGCTGAAGAACTGGCTTCTAGAAAGGCGTTGGGCAGTCAGCCACTCCTAGCCCTCCATTCTCAGGTTGCAGAGCCTGTCTTCCCTTCCTTGCTCTGTGCTCTGCCCTGAAGAACTCTGCCCAGCCAGAAATGCATGGCAAATTCCAAGCCCATATGACGCCTCCTCTTGAGCCCCCCCCAATCTTATCCCAGGTGCCTCAGTCTCCCCTGTTTCGTTTTTCTTTGGGGTCCTCAGAGTGCAGGGCACCAACTCCTCCAGGGCTGGGAGAGGTCCAGGCCCTGCCTGGCTCCTGAACTCAGCAAGGTCCAAGAGGTGGAAAAGGCTTAGGACTACTTTGTTTTCTCACAAAAGCTGTCCGGCAGCAAGGCACTCACTGTCCTGCTCGTCCACCCCCGGGGTTCGGGGGATCTAATTCACCTCCACACCCTTCAGACTCAAAGTTGTCTGACAAATTCTCCCACCGTACCACTCCTGGGATATTCTACCTGCCTGCCTGGGAAACAGAAGAACAACCTGAAGAGCCAGTCTGCAGGGTGTGCTCACCTGGAGAACTGGGGGCAGGAAGAGGAGGGAAACTGAAGTGGAGGGCCTGACTGTTCAGCTTGCTAGGAAGCCAGGTCCCCATATGGTTCCAAATGTCCCCCTAGTCAGGAGACAGCAAGAAAGCAAGCTCTGGGCAAATACAAACCAAGCCCAAGTGGCCAAGTCCCAAGTCAAGTCAGTGGACTTGGCATCCCTCTGCCCACGCCCTGATACAGGGGGCCCATGTGTCTCCTGCACTGCAGTACACGGCACTGTGGGACAGGCTACAGACTCCAGCACAACTTCAATGCCCACCTCCACAAGGAAATCCCCTCCACTCAGATATACACGGGAAATGTGTCCCTAATGCATGGAGGGATGCCAGCAGGTGCTGAGAATATAGCAGACATGAAAAATGAATCCTCCTCCCCTAATCCCACTGCCTCGACCAACATGCAAGGAAATCCCAAGGGGCAGAAGGGAAGAGGTGGCAGCAGTAAAGATGACCAAGGCTCAGAGGGAGCCCTGGCATGCCGGCCCTGGGGCATACTGAACCCTGAGCAGAGTGTGTAGGGAAAACCCCATCACAGAAACAAACTTGGCCTGAACTCTGTCCAAAATTCAAAAGACAAAGTGGCGGAGGCAGAGGAAAGACAGTCCAACCCCACTTCCAGGCAGTGCCCAGAGGGAAAGGAGGCTCTGGGGGACGCATAAAGAGGTCTTTGAGGGCCTTCAAAGGGGCCCCAGCCACCCCTCCCGGCTGAGGTGCGGCTGGGGGCAGGCCCCCTCTGCTGACGGAGGCCTCCGCCTGAGGCCAGTGTCAGGCAGAAATACTAAGGCCTCTTTATGCAGGCCAGGGTCCCCACACCCTGGCCCAGCACATCAAAAAGGCCGCAGCCCCGACCCTGACCCAGCAGATCAGCTCAGGGGCAACCCTGCCATCTCCTCTGCTCGTTCACAAAAGCTAGCTCCGTGGCTCCTGCACGCAGCCACCCGGCCTCCCGCAGTGGGGATGAGTGGCGGGGGGGGGGGTAGCCCCGAGAACACTGACTCAGCTGAGGGGTTGAGGGCAGGGGACAGGGTCACACCAGGCCAATCTCCTAACACCACCCCCCCACCCCCCACAACACCAGGCTGGGCCCAACCCCAGCGCCTTACTCCACTCAGTGCATTTCCAGACCCTGCAGGGTTGGGGGGCAAGGAGGAAGGCCTCTCAGAGCTGGGTGGGCAGGGTGCATCAGCCCAGCATCCTATCTCCCCGCTCCCCTATACACACACTCCAGGTCTCATGGCCAGGTGAGCAATGTAATTCCAACAGTAGCCTAACCTCCCTCCAGGCAGCTGCACAGGAAGGCAGGGAGCTACAGCCCCTTGGTTAGAGATGCAGTGCCTGTGGGAGTGGCTTGGGGGCTGGGGAGCGGAGCACAGCCTAACACTACAAGCTGTGCAGGTGCCTTCCAGCCTATTCAGCCCTCATTCTGGACGCGCTGCCACAAGGGTCTCTGGCCCTGCAGAAATGTTCCACACAACCAGCGGAGGCCCACCACCTCACACGGCTCCCACGAGTACCTGAAGATGCCACTCAAAAGGAAGACCTCCAAGAAAGAGCCAGGGTCAGGCGGCGGGAAGGGCACCCCCAGCTTGGACCTCCCCCGGGACCCAGGGGCCAAGGATTTAGCGCCCACCCTGCTGAGCCGCCTTTTCTTCTGCAGGACTGGGAGCCTTCTGCTTAGCAGCTTGTCAGAGAGAGTGAGGGGCTGCAGGCTTGAACACAAAGGGGGATTAGGGAGAGCCCTCTCGGCCTGCCGAGTAATCCATCAAACTCTCCCCCCCCCCTCGCTGCCAACACCAGCCCCTTCCCACTCAGTTCCCCCTCCAGCTGCTGTGGGGCCCCTGCCCCCTTTGGTTCCTGAGCCCTGTCACATTGGGGAGGGGGCAGAATGTGCAGAGAATCCCAGGCTCCCCTGGGGGTGGGGGGGAGACACTGGGAAAAGAGCAACAGCCTCCCCTGTGGATGAAAACCCAACAGGTGGCAGTGGCTTGGAGGAAAGTTGCTTTTGTTGCCCTGAGAACGACAGTCCAGCTTCACAGAGAAAACAAATACCCGAGGAGGAGGAAGGAGGGAGAGAGGGATAGTGGCACAGCCCCATCTCCCGTCTCCTCTGTGAGGCAGTGGCAGGAATCCTGAGGCTGGCTGGACCCTCACCTTGGCCCTGGCGACACTCAAGAGACACACTCTGACCTCCCACAGCCACTGCCTATGGTCACACCAGGCCAGGACCCCCAGACCCGGACAAGCACTGTTTCACCTGCACCATCCAACACAGGGGCCACAGCCTGGGCACTGGCGTCCTCATCCCTGGCACGGTTGGGGAGGGACGAGGTTGGAGGAAGGGCGGGTAGGGCGAGGTGTGGGAGTTGGTCAGCTCTGGGAGTTGTCGGCGCCTGTGCTTGCTACCTGACTCTCAGTAGCTGGCTCACCTCCAGTGAGTTAACGGGGACATTCACCACTACTCAACCTCCCAGCCACGTGACCCAGGTGGCACACCCACTGCACAGGCTGGCAAGTTTAGGTTAATCCCACAA